TCAGGAGCTCCGATTCATTGGGCACGGCTCCTGTGGAAGGTGACGCGCCAACATGCGCAAGAAGAGAAAGGAGGGACCCTCAATCATCTTTCGCCTTACCTGATCGTGTTCTATCAAGCGATGGGATGTTTGACAGCTTCAGAGGGGGCGCGATTTCCGCTGCTGACCCGGAGTAATCCGGGTAGATACTTGCGGGAGGCTGAAGTGGACACAAATCCGGACGAAGCACCTGCCAGTCCAGCTCCGGCTCCGGCAAGAGCAGAAGAAGAGCATCGACGTGAGCGCGCACCGCGGAAGCGGAAATGGGATGAGAGGCCAGAGGACAGGCAGCCGGAAGCTCCCGCTGCGCCGACTCGGAATCGGCCAACCCACGAGCTTTACAGCCGGCCGAAGCAGAGGGCACGTAAGTTGGTGTTGCCGACTAGCAGTGCGGAGACCGGGCGTAATCCGGTCCGGCGGAATGTCCTGCCCACGCAGGAGGAGATAATCGCGCAGGTTCTGGGTAGGTCGATGAACCCCTCTGCGTAGAAGGCGCGGATGCCTTCGGAAGAAGTCAGGCGAACTAAGAGTCGGCCGACTGCGAGTCGGGCGACTGAAGGTCGGCCAACTGTAGGTCGGCGAGAACAGCGTGTTGAACCGGACAGCAGGCCGGAAGCAGAAGAGAGTTTGGCTGCAGAGCCAACGACTCTCAGAGAGTCGTCTTCGGAAGAAGACGCTTCTGAGGAAGTGCTTTCAGCAAAGCGACCAAGTGGAGTGAAGACATGTAGAGTGGATCCGACTGCTAGTCGGACAACTGCTAGTCGGTCAACTGAGAGTCGGCCAGATTCGCCGACTGCAAATCGGACAGACCCGGCGACCATTGTGTGGGCGCCTTCGGCGGACACACCTCCGGCAAAGACACCTTCCGCGCAGATCGCGCCGGAGGAGCAGGCAGTAGAAGTGGGCGGTGCAGAGGCGACAAGGGTGACCGCGGCGCCGATCCCTTCGGGAACAAGAGATCAAGCCGGAGCGGAGGCTCAGGCAGTGGGATCCCCCATTGCCTTGGATATCTTAGCTGGGAGTGGAGCGGCAGTCGCGGCGGAAGCTGCCACGCGCCCCAGTTCCAGTGAGTCGCCAAGAGCTTCTGTGGCGACTGAAATCCTCGAAACAGAGGATGAGACGAGTTCGGAAGAACAGGAAGCGGACTCTGTGCGTGGGACGCCAACAGGGGTACTGTGCGAGCAGATAGTGTCACTCTTGCGATATTTAAATCGCAAGGTAGCAAAGTACGCGAATTCCAGAAAACCGCAATCTTATGTGGAGTTAGTCAAGAACAGGACGAGGAACAAGGTGGCCATTTGGGCCACTAGGTGCCAAACGTTGGAGATGAGGAATACTGCCCTCCAACAGCACCTGGCGATCACGAAGAGGCTACAACAAACCCTGCAACAACAGCGGGAGGATGCGGCGACGAAAGCCTAGGAGGATGTCGAGCTAATGCGGGCAAAGATTGAGTTGGAATTGCAGGAAGAGCGGAGACAAAACCGCATTCTAACAAAGGAGCTTGCGCGCCAGACGCACGCATTAGAGCAAGGTCAAAGCATGCGCAAGGCGGATGAGGAGTTGTTGCGCAATTTGCAATCCGAGTGCGCGGAATTGAGGGCGCAGCGCGCGGATGCGGAGATGCAGCTGGCAGAGGTGGAAGGCAGCAGCCGGCGCGATGCGGATCGTACGCGAGAAGAGTTGGTGGCGCGGGTGACCCACTGTCTCAGAGGATACACCCACTGGGAAGTGGCGGCGCAAGAGAAGATCACGCTCTGGGAGTTTGAGCTTCGGGCGGCGGCGTTGACGGAGGGTGACAGTCGGAGTCGACGGCGAGTGGCGAAGAGATTAGAGGCTTTCTTGTCGGGTGCACGCAATACTATGGCGCACTTGGAGTCGGAAGTGACCGGGGTCCTTCGGCGGCTGGGGTTGCGCAGCCGAGCGGAAGACTGGCAGGGTAGGGAGATAGTCGGTAGTCTCGGCAGTGGGAACGGGTGGCGTCTGAAGAAATACCCAGTTTCAGGTGTGTGTGTGTTGAGTGACTTACGCTGCACTGTGCATCCTCTGAGTGACCTCCGAGTCGAGCATCCTCCGAGCGACCTCCAAGTTGAGCATCCTCCGAGCGGCCTAAGAAGCACTTGCAGTATTTCTGGGAGTGACAGTCGCCTAAGAATTCAAACTCTCCAAAAGTCTGTTAAACGTGACACTTTGTACTCTGTGTGTTGCCTCTGTCCCTGTGGGTTCGATCTTTTTACCACCATACTGCAGTTTTAGCCTTTGGTGGGTTATTACAATCTCAGATCCCAATCTAACTTCAATCTCCGATACAACTCTCCACCCACGAGAGGTTGCTTCCTCCTACTTTGAACATTCCACACTCCCCTCCTAATTCTCACCACTTCCCTGCGAAAATCACTCACGTCCACACTCTATTCCTGCGACCAATCCCACCAGCGTCTCCACACAATGGCACACCACACAATCCCAGCTCGCTGGCCGAATAATACTCTCCAATGTCCAAGGGCCGAGTCACCCACAGGCCGCGTGAATGCCGTTCCCACGATGATGGGCAACGGCCTGGTTCCCATGTGTGACTTCATGCCCCGCTGTCCTATTTTCCACGCTTGACTTCACGCCGCCGCCACTGCCACACCTGTACAGTCTTTATTCCTGACCACGTCAACATCCGCCGTCCGAAATCTTCTTCCGCGCACCGCCAAAGGCATCCTCCCGCCGAAGACACTCTTCTGCACCTTTGCCTATCTATAACAGTCACCCCCGACGCTTATAACTCACAGATCACTGCTTCGTTTGAAATGTTCTTGGGCTCGTTGGAACGAACGTGTTGAGCTCTTTCTAACGAGCCCCCAACTAAGTCAAACTGTTAAGAATTGAGAAAGTTATCACTGTTTTACTCTTCCGCCGAAGGCGTTTGCCTATGCACAGGCTTCCTACTCGCAACCCGCCTATGCGTAGGCCGCCTATGCGCAGCTCGCCTATGCGTAGGCCGCCTATGTGCAGCTCGCCTATGCGTAGGCCGACTACTTGCAACTCCTTGGGCCGAATGCCTCTCTATCTGTTATCGCCCAAGGCCTCTCTATATGTTAACGCCGAAGGCCTCTCTCCTAACCATGACAGCCGCTTTCGACGCTCATAACTCAGTGACGCCTTATCCGTTTCAAGAGTTCTTGGTCTCGTTGGAACGCGCGTCGCGAGTTCTTTTCAACAAGACCCTACTTGAGTCAAGGCGTTACAAATTAAGAAAGTTATGATGGTTTTACTCCTCCGACGGAGGCCTTGCCCCGTCGAAGGTGCTACCGCCGAAGGTCCTTCCGCCGAAGGCGTCCGTCGCCGAAGACGTCCGACGCCGCACTTGCCTAAACCCTTACCATCCGTAACCTCCGACATTCATAACTCAGTGATGCCTTATCCGTTTCAAGAGTTCTTGGTCTCGTTGGAACGAGCGTCACGAGTTCTTTCCAAAAAGACCCTAACTAAGTCAAGGCGTCACACATTGAAAACGTTATGAGGGTTTACTGTTTCGCCGAAGGACTTTCCCCGAAGGGACTTCATCGAAGGCACTTCGCCGAAGACCTTGCCCCGAAGTCCCCCTTCTGCCCCCTAACCATCACACCAACTCCTAATCTTGCCAAAATTTTCAAAAAAGCCCAAGCGTAATTTTGCAAGAGGTTAAATCCAAAATTTTAACTCTTATAAGGGTAAAAAGACATGTGAGCACAGTTTTGTGCTCACATGAGTTATTTCAAAAATTTTCCTAATAACTTATATTTAAAATACTTTCAAATTTTGAGAAGAAAATTAGATAAACAACGATTTATGCTCTTTTTCTTAGTCTTAGAGAGTAAATTGAAGCAAAGATGAGACTCGGACTCTGCTAAGTAAGACTGTATACTCCCTAACATTTGTTGCTTGTACAAACAGTGTTGGAAACAAAGCCGAAACAATGTTATTTACTAATTTATTCATATATCAAATATGATAATAGAATCAGGGAGGAGCGATTGGACAAATTGTCATAATATTTTATCAAAGATGAAAAAAAGAGAGATGGTGAATCTTGATAAGCGGAGAAGAAAAACATTCCAAAAGGTGGATCATCCATTTCAATGCACATCTGCTTTTTTTGTTTCCAACTCATTATCAGACTTGAGCCACAAGAGAACTTTGCTCTCAATATCCTCCAAACTAAAACTTCATTTTCATTCGAAATCTACAATTTGTTTATTACATAGTATACTTATACGTTGAGCATCACACATGAAATCTTTCATTCAATTCCATACCTCGGGTGGTATGCAATATGATAGTCCTTGAATGTTCCACCAATCTTTCCTGCTTTGGTCATCATCATACCGCCAAAAACATTACCGACGTTGCGACGAATCCACTTTGTTCCATGTTTTAACATATTCGAAGTAGCTACTCGATTCGACAGCCGCATTCTGCAAAGTTATATTAAAAAACTGCTACTCATGAGCACTAATTAGAATGCTAACCGTTGTTCCTATATTTTCTTATTGCACTACAGGCTCCACCAACTATTCCATTCCAATGGGTGCTTAGAACACGGTAAGTTGTAGTTGATATATCCACTCTTGTATCGGTTTATCTACTTAACCAAGTACTACACTCTACAGTATCGTTTATCTACTATCCACTGCACCATAGTTAGCAGCCTATCTCCAATCTATACCATGAAGCCAGTTTCACTTCTAGTCTAGTCGAGTACATAGCCCGGGGCAGCGCATTGACTTCAAGTGTTCCAGAGAATCACAAATCTTTAGAGTTGAATGGTTCGAGTTCAAAGCAATATACTTTTATTTCAAACTATGCCGAAGGTTTGAATTCAAAGATAAATGGACACCGTATCCAAATTGACACGGTAAGATGACCGATCGATAAGCCACAGCCTCATCATTCGTTCCCACTCCCACACTGGTCGATGTTAGGATCCATCAGAATTCCTAACATGACGGGAAAGTCTCTCGTTGTCTGACCTCTAATTGACCATCGACTGGTCGTGATTGTTTCCATTCTTCTCTCGTCCAGACTGCTGTAGCCAGCGTTCTCAAGCTTGAAAGGTGATTCACATGTGTCTACGCAGGAGTTACAGCACACGGTTTTTCTCAATTGAGACTTTCTGAGTCAACCTGCGTTAACGTTTTAGTGACTATGCTGCTCCCTTCTGAGCTCTTGCAGATTGCTGACCGTCATATACATCATCCTCTGATTTTTTTTGTTGCAATGGTACTTGAAACGGAGGAGAGCCGACCTGGAGATCCATGGGAAACTTTATCTATCGAATTTCTGATCAAAGTTCTCAGAGATCATGGTCTGCCAGTTTCCACACTTGCAGCATGTCGTTCAGTCTGTAAGAAGTGGATGGAAATCGTTGATGGTCCTGATTTGCGGAGCAAAATCTGGAATAAACATGTCATTGTCTATTGTGACACATTTACTGACAGCAAGGCCTTCTTTTGCTGCAGTGATCAATGGATCACAAGGAATATTACATTCGAATCCAATAGGCTAATCGCTGCTCATGGAGGCCTCCTGTGTTTTGATAACCATTTGTCGACAGAGTATGTTCTGTATAACCCAGTTCCGGATAAATTTCTGACCTTGAACGTACCTCATGAAATCGATGGAAAACCTGCGGTCATTGATGGAATGATGGAATGTGTAGTGGTGGGTTTAGTTGTGGACCGATCTACAAATCACTTCAAGTTGCTTTTGGGAGGAGTTCTATTGCCAGATGAGCGCAGATCTTTGATTTACGACTCGACGACCGGCACATGGTCGTGGCTTGCTCATCCGTTTCCTGCTAATATGGAACTGGGGTGCCAAGGAGGGAAATGTGTAGCATGTGGTGGATGTCTGTATTGGCTCGTATGGAATCGTAGGGACCACATGAAGGCTCTGTTGATATTTCATCTGCAAGAGGAGAAGTGGAGGGCCTTATTAGAGAAAGTCGAGGAGGACAAGCCAGGCTCCCTTCAGATTGCTGCGTATGAAGGACATGTGTGCTTATTCGCCATGGATTGGTTTCATCTCGACGGGTCGTTCGATCGCAGGAGCTATGGTGGCGCATTTCTCCAGCATCCAATGGTCCGGGAAATGGATGGAGCACTGATCGAAAGAACTCGAGAACTCTGGGAAGGGGAAGAAGGCAGACCTTTTATCCTTTATGCCGCAGGAAGCAGTGATGCCTTCTTCATCTTCAATCGAGAATATAATGAACTCGTGGTGGCGAAATACTCGGCTGGATTCGGCTTGCTGTTTTTTCTTCCCGACCCTCCTTTTCGCGATGTCCATGACTTTCGTTTCTGGAGAATTCTGCTGCAAACACTCCAGGACCCCTGGTGTGCAATAATTCCAACGCCCGGAGTATGTGCAGAGCATGAGTGGATAACACAGCCGCGGAGAGAGCCGCAGGAGGAGGTGCTGGAAGCTCCGAGAGGAGATGCTGCGCCGGAAGCTCAAGCAGGAGGAGAGGAGGTGCAGGAAGGCTCAGGAAACGAATAGGCATTGGAATTCCCGGGAGAAGAAGGGCAGCATTAGGAGCTCCAAGAAAGATCAGTTTCTTAACCAGAACTATAACATTGTCTAAAACTATCGATAGCCAGGATTGTTCGAATCTTGAGGAAACTGGAGGCTTTGAAAAGATTTTCCTCTGCTTGCGTTACCATGGACTTGAACTGTGTTAGTAGTCCTCTACTGGAAAAGTCGACTCATAAACTCATGACTGGATGCATCCTCAATTGCTGTGCGATAGAGGTGGCTAGTGTCAATGTACTTGGACTTCCAGACCAGGCCTGCTTGGCATGTTCTTTGAGCCCAAAGGTCACAAGCATTGAAGAATACAGGATTCTCTTCTCGGCTTGAGCGATTAATAGCGAATCTTGGGAGACGTATAGGCGGAACGACAAAAACCAATTTGTTCTTCTTGGTAGACGACGTACAGGCAGCTCGGCGACTGCTACCATGACGAGCGCGCAGCCCCCGATCCCAGAACTGTTGCATGAAGTAACGATCGAAAAACCCATTTGCAATAAAAGGTATCAGACCTTTTGTAGACCTTATGTTGTAGAAGGTTTTCTGCCAAGCATTTGGCTACGGAATTAACCGTCAAAAGTTTCGTGTACATATGTTCTCACCGATGTAATAAGCCTAATAATTAGTATTAGTAGACTAATTTTGTTGTAATATCTAAAATATTGTACTTTTTCTCAAAAAATAAATACATTATACTAAATAATTCTTTGCGCCTGGTCACAAAGGGAACATCGGTTGAATAGGTTCATGTTGACAATGGAGAATCACATGTACACATTGCAGAAAAGTAATGAAATGTACAAGGGTTTGGATTATTCGTACCAACTGCACGGGGAATTCTTAACTTGCAAAGTTCCGTGATGTTAGAAACTTTGCCCTGTGGTCAACCAACACGTGGTGCATGCCGAACGGATTGTTGGATTTACATGATCTGCCGAAATTTATTGTTGAAAATCTTCCGCTCTCCGTTCCCAAACAGTGCGATGGTGACTGCGACATTTGACTTGGTTAGCATCTCTGTCGACGCTGGTGTGCGAAGTCTTCCTTGAACTCGACACTGCGAACTAGATCGCATGTTCCGTCACATTATCTCCTAATTCATATCAGCGCCGCCCGCGTCCTCCCAGACCGAGGTTCAGGTAGTCATCTTTGGGCGGCAGTCGCTGCTAACTCCACATAATCTTACAAGTTGACAATTGTGAATAATTGTCAACAATTATTCACAAGTTAACAAAAGAGTAGAACCACGGAGGCAAACAGAGTAGGAGAGAAATTATCTTTAAATTTCTCTCCTACTTTGTTGGAAGGTGAGCTTGAGGTATTGGGAACTCAGGAGTCTTTGACGACACATAATTTTGACTTAGTAATGTGTCCACGTTGTTTTGTGTGTGGGAGCGGCTAATTATCTCTCACCCTAGCCTAATATTCCCATGCTACAGGCTACTTCTCCCCTTTACTTCTTTTCGCGAAGACAACATCAAGTAACTCTGTTTCGTATAGCAGAGTGAGGATAATTAGCACAAATATAATTATAACTACCAATTTTTTAAATTTTGGATATATAAGTATAAGATATATTGTCCAAGTAGTGGCAGCGTGATTGGATTAGCTTCCAGTTGGGAGACCAAGGGCGAGCATATGTCCAAGCTTATGTGGATCAAAATGAGCTCAAGTTGTGGCGTAGCTAGGGTTTGTTATTTTGTTCAAGTGAAATGTTTTTGTTAGAAGCGGTGGGTATTGTGAATGTTCTTGGTGTAAGGAGAAGTCAAAACAATAGCAGTAAAGATTGGTCGAACATTCAAGTACTATCATGAATGAGTTGTTGAAATATGCGATATTGTATTGCATACCAACCGAGTTATGGGATCGAATGAAAATTTTCATGTGTGATGCTGAACGTATAAGTATACTATATAATAAAAAAATTTGTAAATTTGGAATGAAGTTTTTGTGTGGAGGATATTGAAAGCAAAGTTCTCTTGTGGCTCAAATCTGATGAAGAGTTGAAAACAAACAAGCAGATTTGCATTGAGTTGGACGGTAGACCTTTTGGAGTATTTTTCTTTTCCCGCTTATCAAGATTCAACATCTTACTTTTTTTCATCTTTGAACAAATATGTCCTATCGTTCCTCCTTGATTCTATTATCATCTTTGATATATGAAAAGATTAGGAAATAACATGGTTTCGGCTTTCTTTCCAACACTGTTTGTACAAGCAATAAACCTTAGGGAGTATACAATCTTACTTTACAGAATCTGAGTCTCATCTCTGCTTCATTTCACTCTCCAAGACCAAGAAAAAACAATTAAATAAACCATAATCTGGCACAACGAATCATAGTTAGATGGTTGCATAGATAATTTGGTTCATTTCATCAATCAACATGTTGAATCAATGACCGAAGCATGATAAAACTACATCGCGTGAACTTAACATAAGCTTGCAGTCTTGAGAATTCTTTTGGGATATTTGTTATCTATTTTTGCCATTTGTGATTTTCAAGAGTATAATTTTCTTCCACAATCAATGTGAGGTGGCTATTTTTTTCGATAGGAAATAAAGTAGTATTTTTTAAGTTTTTTTCAATAGATAGTTTTGATCTGATAAAGTAAATACCTCATAACTTTCTCAATTTGTAATCAATTGACTTAAAAAGAAATTTTATAGATAGAGCTTGGCATGCTTGTTCTAACGAGACCAAGAACTTTTGAAACGGTTGAGAAATCATTGAGTTATGAGTATCGGAAGTGGCTGGTACGAATAGGCGAAAGTTCTTCGGCTCAAAGTTCTTCGGCTCAAAGTTTCTTCGGACTTCGGACTTGGAGGGATCTAAGCATCATCAAGTATCAAGTTACCCCAGCGAGAGTGAAGAGACAGGTTTATGGGTGAGATTATTTTTAGGTGAGATTGAGTGATACTATTTTTAGGTGTGATAAGATGAGTTTTCAGTGTTTTATTCTTGGAAATACTCTTTGACCCTTGGAGAGGGGCCAGGGGTTCTTTGGCCTTGGCTTTTCGGGGGTGCTTGGGACTTTTTGCGTGCTATATAGTTCAGTGTTTGTGAGTTCAGAGGGGGGGGTGGCATCACGAGATTACAAGCTTAGAGCCGAGACGTAGTGTGCGTTTTCTTTTTCTCATGGCTGATGAGACGCAAGATAGTGGTACTTTCCTCGTGTGATGCATGTAGATTTCTAGCAGCCAGCTTCTCTTGTGTACTTCTGAGAAATCCTAGACTTTCCTCGCAGGGTAGCTGTGAGACGTAGTCTAGAAGACTAAGAGTAGATTTTTGCAATTCTTGAGTAGTGTTGCTCTTCCGGTGACGGAAATAAAATATATCACATGTACGTCTGAATGTAACGTGTTTTTTTTAGTATTTTCTTTACTCAGGGAGCCCTTCCAGTGTATCCGGTTACAATGACAGGGTACTTTTCATCACATAAGAGTGTTATTGGTGTAATCACTTATAACAAGTCTTGACAATCAATCTTGGATACATAGCACTTCAAATAGTCAACTTGAACTAAACTACTCGTAGTTGTATGGATGCATATATAATACATGTAATCAAACGATTGACTATTGATTAAGTTTCATTCATTCAGATAAAATTTAGCACCTAAGTTTTTTTTTTGAAGAATTCATTACAATTTTAATTTTTTATGTCATCAAAGACAAAAAATGTTATTTTTTCAAATATTCAAAGTATTTATTGAATGTGTTTATGAAGTTTTTCAAAATAACTCCTCTAAATTATTATTTTAAATTAGGTAAAATTGAACAAGTTTATTTATTGATTGTTAAATTATTGTCAAAAAGGTGAAGAATCTGTACTCAAAATTTTATGTGGTGATAAAAAATGATGAAAGCAAAAAGAAATATAAGATAGAGAAGATGATAATAGTGATATGAGCTATGCCATTAAAAATTTTTGCTGAAAACATTTTAAACTCGAAATGTGATTCAAATTGAAATTCAAAAAATTTAACCTTAAAATGAAATAATATTGAAATGAATATTATAAACTGATAAATCTATTTCTGTGGTTAGAATATTTATTTTCTTAAAAATAGTAAAATAATTTGTTCATGGTCTTACTACTTCAATATATTATAAATTATGCAACAGAAGTTAAAATGTACAGTTTAATTTCTAGTTTAAACAATGATTAACTTAGTGCAATTATTAGAAAAAAAATTCATTATATAGGAGTACGTTTAAAACTTTTGTACATAAACAGAGAATATAATATTAAATTAATAAATAAATCTATTGCAATGAAAATGAGCATTTTTTTGTTTTTGTGATGAAAGTGTATCACATTTTTCTGAAATAGGAATCTAGCCAGATATTTAGCGTAAGTTAATTAAATTAAGATTAATCTTATTTTAGATCGAATTTTACTGTTACATTTATATTTGATGAACAATGTGTGTGCATTAACATTTTATCTTATTTTAAAGTCTAAATGTTAATAACATAAATGTTTCATCATATAATAATAATGCTTGGTTTGATAATATAATTAAAGATTTATAAATTTAATTCCGGATTTGACTAAGTGACAAAATAATCTTTAAAATTATCTTTCATTTTAACTTTAAATTTTTTGTAGGTTGATGATTACCTCAACCTAAGAGTAAAGTTTTACTAGTTATAAGAATCAAAATAGAATGTTTTTATGTAACAAGAATTAATTTTAATGTACGGAGATTAAGTTCTCCAAATTAGATAATCATTGTCATGAAATTTTTAAGAGGTTATCAAATATGAAAAATAAAATTAAAGAGTAAAATTTTAATCAAATTTGAAATTTAATGTGAAATGTTGTTAAATGAGGAAATTTAGATTACCATGTTAGAACGTCAATAACTGATGATTTTCAATTAAATTGAAAATATTTTATAAAAATGCATTCAAAATATGTAGATGTATATTGATAAAAAAAATTTAATAATCATGATGAGATATCAAAAAATAAATTTAAATGAGATTAAACTTAAAGATCTTAAATTTGCAATTTAAAAAAAGTAAGTTAAACTATAAAAGATAAGACAATTTAGCAAAAAAATAAAACATAAAAGAAAAAAAAAATCATCATTTTACTGATCAATAATTTTTGAGAAAAATATATTTAAATATACAATTGTCTATTAATTTTCCTTCTTATTTAAAAAAATAAAATTTGAAAGAAATTTATTATCTACAATTTAAAGCACATAATCCAATCTTGATAACCAGCCAAGAATGTCGAGAAAAAAGTGGTATGTCTAAAAATCTCCACTCTGTTCTTTCGGGACAATTGTCAATTCTTTAAATTTTCTTGTCAATCTTTTTAGTAATGTCTGGTCTCTTGGTGTGGGACGGTTCATGCGTTAAGGCCGCTGCAGAGCTCCACGGGAGGTTGGTAAACATGTCAAGAAGCAAGGTTTGAAATATGTTGTGATGAAGCAGAAAATTTGCTATAAATACCAACCTACTGCTTTGTGCTGGTGTTGAGTGAGATATCACACGGTATTGCACCAAGTTTTAACCACCAGGTGCGGCATCCCTGCCAGTTAGAGGACCTTCTTCAGTTATGAATAGGCCATAGTGCCGTGGATGGACAGTGTGGAAGAATACGCCAGGTTGGAACGTCTGCTTCAAACAATGCGGATGGAGTCTCTGTAACTCAGAGCAGCCAAAGTGGGCCGTGAATCACTGAGAATAAACTAGGATAAGGTCAGCACATTCTCAGGTCTACCTGACGCTTTGGTTTACGAAATTATGTTTTCTCAAGGAAGTTGGACATATCCTGCAACAGAAGCGTTTGTAACTGGCGAAGATCCTACCCTTTGCTTTCTTTCATGTACGATTTGGTGGTTATGTTTCCATCCTTTTTAACATCTTTCATCCTGTCTTTCACTTCCTCATATGAAAATTCATGTCATGGTAAAGACACTCATCCTCTTGGCAAAACGTTTAGGAAGTAAGCTGAAGAAAACGGCCAGCTTGAGATGAAGAAAATGAATGGAAAAAAAATGTACTTTATATTCAAAAATACATTCTTGACCGGACAAAATACACAGGACAACAGTTACATCCTGACCTCTGAAGGAAATCCCAGTAACTAGCCTCGAGGTTCAAAACTTTTAGCCGTCTATTGTGTCGCAGACGAGATTTCTCCTTCAGTCTTAAAGCCACCTTTCGATGGAAAACTCTGTTCCAAAACTTTTAAAGTAAGCGGACAATCTTCTATTCTTAACGGTTCGCCATATCTACATCCGGTGATGGGAAATATAAAGTGAATCATTGATTTCTAACACAGCTTTGTGGTCGCAACGTCCGTTTCTTTCTGAGTTCATTAACTGGTCGTATGCAAAATTGCACTGAGCTGTCAGGTTCTGCGAGGGCAAGAACACTTCGCCAATAGAATGACCCAACATCCTGCGAAAGAGTTGATGAAAACAGATGCCAACCACGCCGTAGCATAATGCTTGGTAGCGCAACTCCTACAAACAAAAGGCTTACCAAGTGTCAAATACTTATGATTGCAGATGAGTCTTCCGTTCGTTACCTCATAGATCAGTATTGGGATCGGGGGCTGCGCGCTCGTCATGGTGGAAGTCGCCGAGCTGTCTGTAGGTCGTCTACTATGACGAACGAAATTGGTTTAGTTGTTCAACCCATAAAATTCCCATAACTGGCTATCCGCTATTGATGGGCCTTCATCTTGGACATCAGGGCTAAGATCTTGGAAAAATTCCGAGATCATAGCGCTCATGTCATCAGGATTACGATCTTACTACAATAGGGTTCATCATAGCGCTGATGTCATTTTTCACGAGAGATCGCAGGTCCACTGCATCCTCATTTCCTGGACCTTCGTGCAACTCCTCTCCTATCGGAACTTCCACCACCTCCTGTGGCTCTCTCCGCGGCTGTGCTATCCATTCATTCCTTGCACTTACTCCGGGGGTTGGAATCATTGCACACAATGGATCATAGACGTCCTGCGGCAGAATACTCCAGAAACTGGAGTATTCTGCCTCATTCAGGAGGGGAACATAAACCAGCATGTCCTATCGAGCCCAGTATTTCGCCACCACGGGGTCATCGAATTCTTCATCGACGAAGATGGCATCACTGACTCCTGCAGCACAATCAAGGAAAGGTCTGCCTTCTTTCCCATCCCATTTTCGAGGTCCCACCAGAGCTCCATCCATTGCCCGTACCTTTGGATGAGAAAGAAATGCGGCACTATATTTGTGTCGATGGAGCCACCAGTTGGCGAGAGGATATGCATCGATGGCGCGTAATCTCTTCTGGCTTTCATCCGCGTCATAGGGGATGTCCTCGACTTTCTCTAGAAAGGCCTCATGCTTGTTGACTTTCTCTACAAAGGCCTTCCACTTCTCCTCTCGCAGATCAAATATCACCAGAGCCTTCCTTAGGTACATCCCTAAGGAAGTACACTTCCATAGGAGCCAATACAGACGTCCACCACAAGCTACACTTCTTCCTACTTTCCACCTCACTTTCGACTCAGCAGGAAACGGATGAGAAAGCCACGACCATGTTCCGATCATCGAGTCATAAATCAAAGTTCTGCGCTCATCTGGAAGTAGAACTCCTCCCAAAAGCAACTTGAAGTGCTTTGTAGATCGGTCCACAACTAAGCCCACCACTACACATTCCATCATGCCATCAATGACCGCAGGTGTTCCATCGATTTCATGAGGTACGTTCAGGGTCAGAAATCTATCCGGAACTGGGTTATACAGAACATACTCTGTTGACAAACGATTGTTAAAACACAGGAGGCCTCCATCTGCAGCGACTAGCCTCTTGGATTCAAATGTAATATTCCTTGTGATCCATTGATCACTACAGCAAAAGTAGGCCGTGCCCTCAGTATCATAATACGCAAGGACATGTTCATTCCAGATTTTGCTCCGCAAATAAGGACCATCGACGATTTCCATCCACTTCTTACAAACTGAACGACATGTTGCGAGTGTTGAAACTGGCAGACCATGATCTCTGAGAACTTTGATCAGAAATTTGATAGGTAAGGTTTCCCATGGATCTCCAGGTCGGCTTTCCTCCGTTTCGAGTACCATTGCAACAACGATATTTAAAGGATGATGTCTATGACGGTTATCTCTGCGTCAGCTCTCTCTCCAACAGCTCAGAAGAGAGTAGCATAGTCACTTACGATTTGATCTGGACGCAAACTCTCACGCATGTTCGCTCAGAAACGCTCAAATGAGAAAGATTTATGTTGTAACTCATGCGCAGACACTTTTGAAACCTCTTTCAAGCCTGAGAAAGCTGGACGAGAGAAGAGAGGAAATACTTCCGACCAGTCGATGGTCATATAGAGGTCAGATTGCGAGAGAGAATATACCGTCATGTTCCAAATTCTTATGGACCGGACCGAAACACCGACCAGTGTGGGGGTGGGAACGAATGATGGAGCTGTGAGTGTGGGGGTGGGAACGAATGATGGATTCATCTCACCAATTCAGTTTCGATTTGGTGTACTTTGAATTTTCAATTTAAAACGAAGGCATAGTTTGAAAGACGAAAACACTTATCGGAGATTCGAAAACATAACACTCCCGTTATGCAAGGAGGGCTAGTTGTGCTTGTACGACGAATCCACAAAAGCTAAAGAAATTACCATCTACAAGCCAGATGCTTAAAAACTTGCACGTGTGGTTTTGACAGGGCAATTAACCCTATCGTTATTCTTTGATTGATTCTGTTGTGCCAAATCCAAGAGAATAAATTTAGTTATGTTATTTTACAATTTTGCTTTAACTTAAAGCTTGCCGAGCTAGAGGTTCTATGGATCGTCTTGGAGGTTAGTATAGTAAGGAATCCCAAGAATCATTACATTGTCATTATAGTTTCACGCCTCAAGATTACTCCCGACGCATGTCTAGGTTCGGAAGGACGCGATTTACGTCATGTGGTAATTAAACCACATTACATTGCACGGTTTTCTGTTGCACTGATTTTGCAAACCAATGCTTTCAACCACTCAAGCCACACATACTCCTTTGATAACCTTGGCTTCGGCGTATGCGCGGAGGTTGCGGGGCGGCCCCTTTCGGATAAATGAAACCCTGAATACCCCTGAAATTATACGCGCCAACAAAGATCGTTTTATCCCGGCTATTAGGATATGCTGAATTGTCCCTGCATCCGTAGACGAAAAAAAAGGTAAAAGCTTCAATAAAAAATGGAAGCTTTGGATTGGCATTTGCTAGACCGAAATCAGTTCAGTACATGTCTCTAAGTTGCTAACCTTTTATTTTCAAGCTAAGTCGAGAACAGAAGTAAAAAGAGATGCACACCCTTTAACGTAAATTGGTAGGCCATGCCAAAGAATCGAACGGGTTTACGCAAGATAATTGTGAGCACACCGGACAGAACGTAGGTGAGGACTCACCCCATACGAGTAGCAATAGGAGAAACGTCGGAACCGAATCTCCTGTTAACCGCAACTTTGTTTAATTTAAAAGACTAGAAAAATAATATTGTAAGTCAACTTTACGGCTAGACTTTATTTGCGAACCCAATGAGGTGAAAACCTCACGCACGATTTTGAGGGTAACTGTGTTGAGACACTTAACTTACCTCTCCTGTTAATAACACCTCATGCTTTTTTAATGATATTCATTATAGCTATGCTCGCGATCATAGGTGGTACTGGAATTTAATTTGTTATTATTCGTAAAGTAAGCCCATATATGTGATTCCCTAGATTAATTGAAATTTTATTTTGGCTTTTTCCATCGTCATTGGTACTTCTTTTAACCTCAACTTTAGAAGAGATGGGTGGCTGAAGTGTCCCAACCCACCCCCCACAGTCCCATCGCTTTGAGTAGTTGTTAGAGAACATACCATAACCAGCCAAATGAGTATCAAGGTTATTTTTCAGTTTAGGTTAATTATCCCTCACTCTAGAGGTCTATGATTGGTCAATGGTAACCTGTGCGTGAGTTAAGAAAGTGAGAGGGCCCAAAAAGTCAAGCTGGCGAGTTCTTTCGAATTTCTTGCAACCAAGAAGAAGAGTTCACACTTCTGTCTTTTCTCTCCCTCCGACTTGTCCTCATCTTTCTCATATGTTTCGAAATAAAACAACCAGCTTGTTCACACTAAGAGGCGAAACTTACAAGATAAAACTTTCACTTGTAATCCACGAAAGAATAATTTGACTAGAAGCTTTTATTCGCGCTAGTCTTAATCTCAATGCAGCAAATTCTCCTTCTGCCACTGACCTCAATCCGTCTCGATTTAATCCAAAAAGCAAATGTCTGCACTGACTGGAACCGAATAAATATCTAGCCAACGTTTTTCGGATTTCATTCTTTCTTTCTTTCATTTAGCACCCTCGTGGCCAATTGCTCCCGAGTCCCCTCCATACATACATACCGTGGGAGTAGCCGGCAAATGGTTTACAAATGCCAGGTTGAACCATCGGGGAATTATCAAACCCTCATCTCACTCCCTCTTGCCCACCCTACTCTCTTTCTCTCGCTTTCTCTCGCGTTGACCAATCACAGAATTTTCTTTCGCATAGCATGTCAGGGATATTTAACCTAAACTGAAGTATAACAAACCGCTCTTTAATATTAAACCCAAATTTGTACAAACATAATAATTCTGCTGAATACAACAAATTCAAAGTATTTACTATAGCAATTGTGAGATGATTTGGTTCCTATGCTGTTCCAGAGATAATAATTCCAATCGTGTCATCTTTACGAGTGATAATATTCGATCCACATTTGTACATGTATAGTAATTTCGTTTGAATATAAAGAATTCAAAATATTTACTACTGCTGTTATGACATGGTTTAGTTCCTATAGTTTTACAAAGATAAACCTTCCAATATTGTAACCTTGTATGATTGATATACTATCATTAGTGACTTAAAAATCCAAAACCATTTGTTTGCAACTTGTAAATTTCTTCAATTAGAATAGTGCATAATTATTGCCAATAGTAACCTAATCCTATCTAATAGTAATAATGTCAAGTGTACTCTTGGAATTTTAATTTTTGTCAATGATCTCAATACATAGATGTGAGAAAGAATAATGTGCCATACTTTTAACTAAAATTATAATTCGACAATTCATTTTCTATGGACTTCGTTACATGTATTATGGTGTAATGTTTCCCTTAAATTTTTGTATATTGATCGGAATTCAAGCACAATTATAGAGCCTACCTAAATCTTCGTGAACAATATTGAATTGTAGATACCATCAATCTTGAAACCAAACAACTTATATATAGAATGTATTGTAATGTATTATAAGAATTCTATTTATTTTCTTTTATAAACGACATCTCCCAATAGTGACATTTGATTCTAGCATCAATGTATTTTATTGTTGGAAATTTAAATATTTAAAATCACCCATTTTCCAAAAGTGACATTGACTTTAATACTTTATACCAATATATGTAAAATATTGGGAGTTTAAAGACAATTTTTTTTTGTGAATGACAACTCTCAATAGTGACATATATTGATATCATGGTTTAAGTTTGTGGTAACCCACTTTTTGTTTTTCGTTGGAACTAAAACATTTTTGAATACTAAGTACCGCGGTAGCAGCTGTAAATAGTAATCGGTACACAAAACCAGAGTAAAAAGAGTATCGAGTACAGTCAAGGGATTTTGGGCTTAGGCCACAGTCGAACGCTTGGGATGGAACGGGCGGTTCATGCTGCAGGACCCGCTTTGAGCACATTCGGTGGTAGATCACTCATAACTTTTTCAATTCGTAACGCCTTGGGTTACTTAGGCTTTTGTTGCAAAGAACTTGACGCGCTTGTTTTTACGAGCCCAAGAACTTGTGAAACGGATAAGAGGTCACTGTGTTATGAGTGTCGGAAGTTACTCATTGGGGGCCTTTGGTGGTAGAGCGACTTCGGCGGTACGCCTTCGGCGGTAGACGCATTCGGGGCAAGGGACTTCGGCGGAAGAGTGACTTCAGCGATACGCCTTCGGCAGAAGAGTGAATCCCTCATAACTTTTTCAATTCATAACGCGTTGACTTGGTTAGGGTCTCGTTGGAAAGAACTCGACACACTCGTTCTAACGAGCCCAAGAACGCTTGGAACGGATAATAGATCAATGAATTATGAGTGTCGGAAGTTACTGATAGGGAGGGCCTTCGGGTCAAGCGCCTTCGGATCAAGCGACTTCGGGTCAACGCCTTGTGGTACCCCACTTTTGGTAATTTTGAGGAAATTAAAACATTTTTGGAAAACTGTACCCCGGCAGCAATGTAAATAGCCTTCGGTGCATCAAAACAGAGTAAATTCGGAAGATCGCAGAGATTCTCGAGGAACCTCGTAGAATCTAGGAGTTGGGTGCAGCAGTAAGGAAGGGCACCACCCTCCCTGCGAGCTTTGCAGTTAGGATCCTGTAATAACCCACCAAAGGCTAAAACTGCAGTATGGTGGTAAAAAGATCGAACCCACAGGGACAGAGGCAACACACAGAGTAAAAGTGTCACGTTTAACAGACTTTTGTAGAGTTTGAATTCTAGGCGACTGTCACTCCCAGAAATACTGCAGTGCTCGACTCGGAGGCTCGACTCGGAGGAGGATCTCGACTCGGAGGATGCTCGGAGGATGCACGGTACAGCGTGGTCACTCAACACACACACACACACACCTGAAACTGGCAAAAAGCACAACTCGGAGGTCGGTCAGGACCTCTGCTTCGGATTTCAGGAGGAAAGTGTCTCAAAAGTTCACTCAGAGGTTCTGCAGGTAGTGCCTCCCACTCCGGCTTTTACTGCCCTTCCGCCAGGAACTAGCGTAGGGTACCCGGACTGGACTTCCCACTTCGGAACGAAGCCTCTTCATACGCCGTGGACGTCACCCTCGACTCTCACACCAAACGCAGGGAGTGCAGACCCAACTGAGAACTTAACTGAGACACGATCCAGTAACACACACAAAACCTGAATTGCAAACCAAGGCTTACACAAAGTAATAAAACTTCACATTGGCATTCAGGGGAAACTTCCCGTAGGAGTACAATCAGGATATGTCACTCGAAGGAGTAAGGGGGAACTGTTCAAGTATCTAACTCGCAGCCGGCTCTGAGCATCAGAAATCACCCGCAGGTGCAGATCCGCACTACTCAAGTCTCTAACCGGGTGCTAGCTCTGAACATTCAGCCGAAGGCCTTCAACTACAACATACGGTAACTTCGCTATGCTGCAGCTTCTCTACGTGGTGCCAGGACCAAAATGCACAAACACGTCAAGAAAGTGAGTTCCTGATCTACACTTC